AACCCTAAACCCTAAACCGCTGGACGGTCGAAAAAGAGCGTTTTAAACACAAAAAAACCTAAACCCGAACCTAGGCAGAAAGTGCACCTTAAAGCCCCATACCTAAAACCTAAAACCTAAACCTTAACTCAGGCAGAAAGTACTGACGTCTCTTGCAGCGGCGCGGGATGCGCTGCTTGCGGCCAACGGCACGGCACTGGACCTCAGGCCACATGGCCTCGTGTCCACCAGGCAGGGTTTGACTGGGTTGCTGTTAAGGGTTTAGGATTACTATCATATCCCCCTATAACGGAGAATCAAATGGAACATGAAATGGAAACTGGGGGAATATAGGGTTTAGGGAACTTAAATTAAGTTACTACAGTAAATAATTCCCCTTATTAACTGAATACACATATTATGATAACTCAAATTAAGTTCTGTCACAACCACTCAGTTTACCGGTCTGCCTATCCGTCATGGCTGACACGATCTGACTTGATTGGAGTGTCAGTGCAACTTGTGTTGAGCACAGTTGGCCGGGCTTTTACTCATAGAATATGGGAATCTATTATATACAGGGATTGTATAGGGGGTATATTCCCTTATTACCTACTAAGAACCACATGTAGGTTCGACTACGACGGGGCATGATTCTCCGCTTATCATCTTCGTCGAGCTCTCACCCGGCACTGCCATGTCGCCAGTGGCGTCTTTGGCACAGCTCAGCTGTCTGCTGGCCTTCTTCTTCCTTGTCTTACTGCAGGTCTTACTGACAGGCATGGATGGGTGAAGCCGTTCCTTTGGGTGCTCTGGATTTGATGATGACGAGGCTAGCTGTTGATGCTGAGCTGCTTTCCTGGATACGCAGGGCAGCGAGCTGACGGCTGCAGTTGCAGTGTGCATGGGTGCATTCGCCCAATCCCAGCTGCGCGTGACCGGTGACCATGCGGATTTGTCGAAATTGCGATTTGGCAGGAAATAGCTATGTGGTCTGTTGCCAGACTGGGATGAGCGCCAAAGTTGGCGGATCTGGCCGCAAAGCGGGCGAGGGCGTTCTTTCACGAGAAAAAGAGTCCTGGCTGATACGCTCTGCGGTGTTGCGCAGTACAAACCAAGGCATGCACCACTGCGTCAGCATTGTAAAGCCGGTCTTCATGGCTCGAGCTTTGGCTGATCTTCCTAGTTGTGCGGGGCAGGTTGCATTTTTCTGCTTCGCTGATGCCGGCGAACAAGGCCTTTTTCGAGACTGGTGTCAGATTGCTTGTATGCTCTCATGTTTGCTGCCAGCTGCCAGCTGCGCTCACAGCTCAACAACATGACGGAGCCAGGCGGCAAAGGGGCAACTTCGCAGGCGCAAAGCTCGGGACGGGTCCTTACCGCTCGCTGTCTGAATTGACCTCAGCCCTGGAGAGATTGTGCATGACATGCTGAGGCACGTGAACTTGCTGTGGCCCGTCTTGCCGAGGAGGCTGCTGTTTTCATAGACGGCCTCATGACTTTGGGAAGGGTATTGTGAGAAACATCTAGCGCCCTCTCTTGTCAGGCTTGCGATAGAGCGGCCAAAGAAGTTCGAACCTAAGTTGCCACCGCTGTGCATTTCGCGCCGTGCGGCCCTGTACATGCCATGCAGCATGCTGCCCGGGAAGCTCTGCAGTCTATTGAGTCTAGGCGGGACCAACGCTCCTTACGAGCGTGCCCCGTACGTCGCAGGCACGCAAAGAACGGACATATTCAAGTACCTTTTTTCGTGAGCCTCCTTTCGACACAGGCCCAGAAGCAGCAGAACCAAGCAGATCGTCCATCATCGGAGGATGTTACCGTTACCCCCATGAGTTTCACTCACATGCTTCAGAACCAGGCTGGGCGGAGTGGATGTCTGGAAACATGACAGTTGAAAAAAGACGTTCTCCGCATGTGCAGGAACATGGCCTGGGCGTGGCATACTATGCTGGAGCCTCGTGTTAAGCAGTTCCAGTTCCAGCTTCGCAAGCCGCGATTTGGGTGCCGAGGTTCTGCTGCGAGGAACGTTTGTTTGAAGGATTTTGCAATCCAAGCCTTATTGCCATGGCATGTCAGAAGCTTGGCAGCATTTCTGGTTTGGCTTGATGAGGTCATTTCCTCCGATTGAATAAAGCGTTAGGCCTGGCATGGCTTGAGAGATTACGGTCAGGCTGCGGGGGTTGCACTCGCAACAAGCTTCAGGGCTCCGAGGTTGCCGTCGGCCGCTTGCGTCAGCCTAGTGATGGCATTGGGTTTGTTTTTTATGCAGCCAGGAGCCGGGTTCGCGATTCGAGTAGTAAAGCAACATTCCCGAGGACGTGGAAACATTTTGATCTTTGAGTGCCATCTGACAAAGGTGAGCGCGTGTGCAACCGACCAGGATCTGTCATGCCCCTGATGCGGCCCAAAATGGGACGGGCACCAGGGCGGAATTCTAGACCATGAAGGGTGGCAGGCTTTTGCTGACTGGCCGCCGAGCTGCCCAAAGCAGGCAGCGACGTGTAGTTTCATGTCTACTTTTCACGGAAAAAGTAATAGCAGAGAAGTTTTGCCAATACGACATACAGGTTTCCTGCACCGTGCAAGCCAAGGCATGCATCATGTCATGTCAGTCGACGTGTTGTGCCTTGAGTTTTGCCTGATTTTGCCACGGGAGTTTCGCAAGCCAAATCCAGGGACGGCCATTTTGGATCTTCTTGGAAGTATGGTTCAGACGGGCTTCCCAGGCAACATCTCGTTTTGATGTTCGGGGTTGTGCAGGCCACGTATGGGAGTGGTCACCCAGCATGTTTTGGGGTGTAGGCTGAGCCCACAAACATCAAAGATTTTCTAGCTGCGCTTGAGATGTTTTACAGGCAGCCCCTCCCGAGAATTGACTGAAATCAACCACACCCCCCCCCCCCACTCCCCCCCAAAAAAAAAGATGACTGTGCTGCGACTGCTTGAGAAATGGTGCCGGATGAGATCCATCTGGCTCTGCCATGCTGGTTCAGAAAATGCATCTCCCGCTCCCATGCTCAAGGGTGTTGGATGTCCCGTTTCTCGACTGCGTCCAGGGTTTCCCATTCAACATGTTCTCCCATTGATGGCCCGTATGGTTTGTTGCATGTGTTGGCTTTTGTTGCTCAAGCCTTGGAAGATCTTGTTTCGTGAAGGGGGCATTCCAAGGATTCCAAGGCCAGCATGTAGGCTTCGGGCGTGTTGGCTTTGGGCTTGGCATTCCTGACAAGTTCACTCGTGTTGGGGGTTGCTGACACCGCAGGTTTCTAGTAGCAATCAAGACTCGCACATAGCATACTCAATCTTACAATTACATCAAAACGGCAGCCTGACAACACCAGGCCTTACTTCCTTTGTGCTCCGAGATGGAGCCCATCACGAGGCTCCGCCGGAAAGGCGTGCCTGGAGGTGCTCCCACCCGGCCACGAGGGTCGGCTCCACGGCAGCGTCAAGGCCGCGGCAAGGCGCCTCCAGCAGCTCGGGGCCGAAGCCCTGCGATCCAAGCTCCGAGCCCGGAGCCAGGCCGGCCAGGATGGGATGAGGATACACGTGCACCGAGCTTGTTCGACACTCGCCTACGTAGGCACATCTTCCAACCCTACAGCCGCGCAGCGATTGAGAGTGTGATTGCCGGGCCACGACCACGAAGGGCGCCCTCCACCCAAGCTCCACAGGCTCCCCGCACGGCGCAGCCGTTCGCCCATAAACCGGGGCAGCTGCACCGACGACTGCAGAGCGGTGTTCTTCCTGGCCAGCCTTCTCCACAGAGGGTGAGAATTCCGGAGGCCGAGGTGACATCTGAGGCCCCAGAAGTGAAGCAGGTGAAAATTGAGCCATCTGAGCCTTACGGTTGGCCGCCTCCTATGTTGCCACTGCAGATGCTGGAGCCGGCACCTGCGCCAGAAGAGCTGCAAGTGACACACCTGCAGAGAAAGCGAGCTGTAGCCAGTTTGGGCGAGAAGCTGGCCATTCTTTTGCCAGATGCAAGATCTGAAGTCAAGATCACTGGGCAGGTTCTGTTGGTTCCGCCAGTGGAGACACACGCATCCATGGCACATAGCGTTGTGGCACATAGCCGTGTGGCGCGTAGCCCGTTGGCCAGGGAGCCCGAGCCGGCGATCAAGTTGGTCCCTGCACCCACCATGCCAGCCAAAGTGCAGAGCTTGTCCGTCGGCACTTCATAAACAAGTTGTTCTTGAACGTCTTGCTGCATAGACTGTTAAGAAGCAGCTCAAAACTCTATGTTTACCAGGGTTTCCTGAAAATTTGAGGTCTCAGAAGCTGGCGGCACTTCTTGGGCCTGAGCCCCGTCCCTGCAACTCGCCGCAGCGGCGGCGAGACTTAGCACCTGAGCAGCTTCTGCGGCAACATGGCCAGGATGTTATGGGGATTTTTTCAATTATTATGGACCATAATTCTTATATAGTTAAACACGGCCTCTAAATATATCCCAGATGGCTGCGCAAACTGAGCCCCTTAAGGGACTAGGATATTTCAGGGAGAAAACTTAGTGCTTGTCATAGGTATGCATAGACATCATACTGGCAGTAGTACGTTTTGGCTGCTTGGGCCAGGCAAAACGCTACAGAAGTTGTTCGACAGGACGGGGTGCTGCAGCAGAGCTGGATGGGTACCCTCCCGTACATCCACACGAAAGCAGCTATGAAACCCTTTTTGGGGAAAGCAGTTCATGAAAGCCCATTTCAAGCTCCATGTTCTTGCGGGAGGGTGCCCATTCAATTTCAAACTTTTTGGGAGCATGTTTCTCTTAAGTTTGATTTTCAACTGCCATTGCTGTGGCAGGCTGACCAGCTGACTGATGGGGTGTTGGAGCATCTCCTGAGAGCCGTGGCAAAGAATAATGTCAACCAGTAGCACTTTGCATGTGAACTTCTTGTGGCAATCTAGTCCAGTATATCAAAGCCACCAGTTCCGTTGAGTGTCTCCATCATTTCTGGTGTACTCTAGGAGATTCGGTGTGCCGTCTCGATGCGCTACCAGATAAGCGCGCGAAGAGTGGGGAGCACAAGACGTGTCATGGGCCCGGCTTGACTGTTGTGCCCGCATGGCCCAAGATGGTTGCTTGGGGGAAGAGTAATGACCCTAGAAGTTGTGCAGGATAGCAAAAAGCACAGTAGCCACACCCAAGAATCAGGGGAACAGATGGCAACAGTCATGGTCATAGAAATGGCCATGCTCTCAGCAGTTTGCTCGTTGAGGCCGTGCGCCTGCACAAGACTGGCGCCCCCAAAGAGAGGAACGTGAAAAAGAAGACGTGCTACACCACGATGTCCGGACAGAGAGCTTGGGTCAGCTTGTCGGGCACCTGGCATGCTACAACTTACTGGTGGTTAGTAAGGAATAAGGTACTGTAATATATTATAAAGGGACTATGTTCCCTTATCCCCTACTAACCCTTACTAAGAGAAGGATTGCCGGTTTGAAGCCTTTCTGTTGAAACCCAGGTGAGGAGTATTTAATTTGGGGATACTATGGTACCCAATATAGAGTAAGATTATATCCTCCTGTTGGGGTATAGTATTTTATATAAGGGATCTTATCTTACTAGGTTCAACCACCAAAAAACACTACTCAATATAACCCCAATACATATCCTATTTTGATAGAGTAGTTTCCATTTTCTTTGCCATTTTCCCTATATGACCCCTATATCTTACTAGGTTCTACCACCAACAAAACACTACTCAATATGACCCTAAACCCTAAACCTACTCAGGTGCAGAAGGCTGAAGACAGGCTGGAGATGCTGGAGCAGGAGCTGAGGCTGACGTATCTTCACGGGCAGGACTTGCGATTGAGCTGGCTCAACTTTCTTGTTATGGAATTTTGAAGTATAATATAGTATATTATAGTAATATTACAGTAACATTATAGTATATTGCAGTATATTATAGTGTATAGTATTTTTGACAACTGGCTTTTGGCCTGACAGGAGCAGTCGGCCGCCCGACGGGGCTCCACGCAGGACTGGCATGATGGGCTTTCAAGTTTCAGGGTTCTCCTAACCCTAAACCCTAAACCCTAAACCCTAAACCCAAACCCTTGAAGCCTTGAGCCATGAACTCCAGAAAAAGACAGGCCCTGTAGCCTCCCATGCTTTGCCCAAAGAAAACCACTGCATTCTCCTAGTTTCTCTGTAACTTTCCATTGCCTACCCTTGTGTTGTTCGCTTCTCTCCAGTCCCTTTTTGGCCCCCTTTCAACTCTTTTTAACCAATTTTATCTCTAGACAACCCTAACAGCTGTCGGTCAGGAGGCTCGCCATGTGCCAGCAAGCCGCCAGGATTCGGAGGAGGAGGAGGCACTTGGCCATTTTCGATGGGATGAGAGTTCCGGTGATGGCGGCGGTGGCAGTGGCGGCGGTGATGAAAGTATCGTCAACTCATCCGGTACTTTATGTTGGTAGTAAGCAGTGCCCAGATGTGTAGACAGCAGCTTCTCTGACCCGAATTGACATGGAAACTTCTATCCTATATTGGAATTGTATAGGGATAATTGACAAGAAAATGGAAACCCTAGGTCCCTTTAAAGGACTTCTGCAAGCTGCTCACAGCAGCTTCATTCTTCTCTGCCACGTATATTCCCCATTACCACAGGACCCCCATAGTCCTCTTGAAATCCCTAGATCTTGCAGGAGTGTCTAGAAACCACTAAACCCCAAGCCTGCCCCCCCCCCACAGCGAGTGCGTGTGGTTTGCATTTGGTAGTTGAGCTAGGTTCCATTTTGGGTTGGGATCTCAAACCCTAAGCCCTTACCCCTAAGCCTTAAAAGGACCTTTAGAACAACCCCCCAATTCGGAAGGGCTGGAGACCTGCTTCGCTGCCTGCAAAGCGACTCCAGGAGCTAGAGAGATATCGCTGCTTGGCTTGGCCATGGGAGAACTTTCACGGTTGAGGGTTTAGGGTTTAGGGCTTATAGGGTTTAGGGTCTACGGTTTAGGGTTTCTACAGTTTAGGGTTTAGGGTTTGATTATACCCTATTATAATGTAGTAGGGGGATATTGGAAAAGAACATGGGAAACTATAGGGATTATAGGGGTTATATACGGTTATGTCGGGATAATGGAAAAGAAAATGGAAACTACTATGGTGTTTAGGGTTCAGGGTTTTATAGGGATAATGGAAAAGAGGATGGAAGCTACTATGTTATCACTGGGTAAATATGGGGAGTATATAAGGGGACATATAAGCATACTGCCCCCATGCTTGAGAATCCAATGGAAACAACATGGAAAATGAAATGGTCACTGTTCTAATGTGGTGGTTTATAGGGATAAGGGATCCCAGAAATCAGGGCATTAGGGGTCCCTATTTTCGGGGATTCAACAAATTAAGGGGTTTTGCATTTTGCGGTCTATCTTGGCGTCCCCTCATTTACGGAAACTGCTTCCTAATCAGTGCTGCAATTCCCTACAAAGCTATGATTCGAGGTAGACCACTAGATTTATCTATATTGGTCCCCTTCTTGTTATGTAGAGAATATTTACAGAATTAACCATATACTATAGTAGTTTCCATTTTCTTTTCCATTATCCCTATACAACCCCAATATACCCTATAATCCCTATAAAACCCCAATATATAATGCAAGTATGAGGTCATTAGGTGAATTTGGGCAGCACTGACTGAGTTCTGTTTCGACTCACAGCCTGTCCCAGAGCCTTGGAACAAGGTGCCCGCTTTGCGAGGCATTGCTTGGCCGCCCGGGAGGCGTGTCCTCGCCACTTACTGGTGGTTTAGGGTTTAGGGTTTAGGGTTTAGGGTGGTTGGTAGGGCTGAGGAGTTAAGGGTTCAGGGTTTTGGGCGGAAGATTCACCTGCAAAACCGTTTCTCGAGAGGGATGTCTCTGATGCTTGTACCAACTGGCGGGTACTGTGGTGAGGAATTGGGGAATGGATCCCTATACTATCCCTGTGATACTATGACATTTGCAATATCCCTTCCTTCAGTCCCTATTTACCGAGAGTACAAGAGGAGTTCCCCGCAGAAGTGCGAGCTGGCCCCTTCCTAGGTAGGGAAACTCCCAAGTTATATCCTATCGAGTCTGCAATAGTAATAAACACAGCATACATAACATTTGTGTTCGCAATATGCCCGCCTAGCTCCTAAACCCTAAAGCACGTTTTCTTGCCAGTTTGCATTTCACGTTCATTGTTCTTTTTAATCATAATATTCTCACAAATCCCGATATGTCCCGACGTATCCCTCTATAGCCCCTATTTAAGGCCCTATACAACCCCTACATAACCCCTATGTAACCTCTGCATAGCTCCTTCATTTCCCCTGCTAGTACAGAACTCCTATGTAAGCGACATGGAACTCCTATTTAACCCCACGCAGCTGCTTTCTATCTATACCACCTACATCACTCCTCTAACGCCACTGCATAATCCCTCTACAACCCCAAAGATCACCGCTACATGTCCCATCTATTTCCCTCGTATACCCTAAACCCCAAACCCTATAAGCCCTAAGCCCTAAGCCCTAAACCCTAAACCCTAAACTATCCAACGGTTCCGGCCAGGCAGGGATCCAAAGCGGTCCTGGCACTCGCACGGCCACATGGGTCTGCTGGCCTACATGGGGCTGGAGGGGGGGGGGGCTTGTCAAAATATAGGGGATGATGTGAGCTATAACTTATGGGAGAGTATTATGGGGGGTTATTTAGGAATTGTGGAGAATCACAGGGAAAGATTGAAACATCACATGGAAACCAAACCGGTTTCTATCGGTGTTTAAAAAGTTAGTAACGTAGAAGCTGGGTGGTTGTAAAGATGGTGATTCCCTTTTGGGTGCATAAGAAACTCTGACATGCCAGCGGAGGGCTGCGTTCGCAAACGAGGTGATATGGCCATTCTTGGCGGATAGCATCGTCATGGCTGCGGTGGAGTCGGCCATTGAGGAGGTGGACGCCGCCATGGATGGATACGCCGCCCGCCGCAAAGTTTCGAAAAGTAAGGTTAGTAGGATTCTATCCGAGCCCCCGCATAGAGCAAGATTATGTTATCATTTAGGTCGTACTTTGTGTAAACAGAACATAACCTTGCTTCATGTTAGCAACCTCGAAGCACTTCTCAAAGTTACTTGAAGCTGAGACTCTACAACTGGACTGGTGCGTTAAGACTGGTTGTGCAATCTTTCAATCAGAGCTCCTTCCCATTTTGTGTAGGCTGCCAGATTTGGCTCCATCACTTCTGCCCTGATGAGGTGAGTGGCTTGATTGAGCTGGAAATTGGGGACAATGCAGATGGGGAGGATACAGCCACTGCGCATGTGTGAGAAAAGGAGCTGCTGCCTAAGCTGATGTGGTGTGAAGATTCATGGTACTACGAATTTTGGTAGTTTCCCAAAATGAGGGGACCCCAATATAGATCTCCAAATACTCTAATCCTTATGATGGGGGCCGCCAAAAAGGTATTCAGGATTGTGTGAAACCCCATTTAGGGTCGAGCAGCGAAGCTCGGATTACGCCCATGTATCCATGCGCAGTGCAGCATCCTGAAACAAAGTTGCCATCCGTGGAGTCATCAAACCAGCAAAACATGATAGTTTCCCTACATAGCCGGACCCCAAGGTAGACCTACAAAATACTACAGTCCTTATTATGGGGACACCCGCAAAGGTACCCCAAATTTATGGAAACCCCCATTTTGGATCTCCAAGGCAGGCTCGAGGAATGCCTCAGGCAACAAGGTGTCCCGGCTAGCAAAACATCCCAAAAGCACGCACAATTTCGAGAACTCCTCCAAGTCCTGAATCCAAGCTCAGCGCATTCTTATCATAATGCCAGCGCAACTCAATGCATAATCGTAGCCTACCCACCACCATAAACCCCGCCCCCCCTCCCTTGCCCTTGCATGTCCCTGGGGCCATGCCTGCTGGCAGCCTAAGATCTGCGCTGGACACCAGCTTTCTAGCAGCAAGCTCTGCTACTCGGCTCGTGAGCAAAGTGCGTTTTGCGACCGTCGGAATTTGGGCTTTCAAAAAAGGGTAGGATCGTGCAAGGATTGTTCCCCGAAATTCCCACCATATTTCTCGCGTGATTATGAGGGCCGTTCTAGTTTAGTGTAGAAGGACAAAAATGATACGATACAATTGCATCCAATCTGTGCAGCCAGAGGGACGTGCGCATGTTATGATCTGAGGGTGCCGAGCTGCGATCCAAAGTTGGCAGCGCTCTCCTCGGATGCCTTTCAAGCTTGTCTGAGGCGTGCAGGATCCCAAAGTAATCCAGTTCCAGGGCGGCCCATGCCCTTACTTCTGCTGTCCCTGAAGATGTAGGCTAGCATAGCCATGGGAATTGAACGTGCGGTTGCTGTTGGAATGCAGCTGCATTTGAGGCCCTCTTGATGTCAGAAGCACAGATCCTGTCGAGGAGGGTTTGCTGCAGCCTTGCCTTGTTTCATGTTGCTTCTCTGCCTTAGTAGGCAGGTAGGGGGGGGGGTGGCGGCCTGTTTTGACATGCACATCCGTATAAGAGCAGCTCGTCCCTGTTGGCTGTGCGGATGCAGGACTTTGCCGCCTGGCTTTTGCGAAGCCTGGTCGCTGTCAGTAGCTTTCGGTTTTTCTCTGTTCTACACACACTCCCAGCCCTTGCGGATGCAGATTTATGATGCCACAGCCTTCGAAGATTAGAGTGGCGTCGTTGTAAACTGGAACCAAGGACTGGGCGGTGCGGTGAAGCAGGCCCACTTTGATCTTGTGTTTCTGCTGTGCAAAGAGATGGTGGGGTCTTGCAATCATGCTGTGCCCGGGCAGACCATCCTGGACATTCGCTCAGCTTGGCTGTGAAGCGCAAGCTTAGATCACGGCATGCTTGCGTCTATCATGGTCCGTCTCTCCTGGACATGTACAGCTACCCAGGATTGGACCCACTGGCCGTTGCCAAGTGGCATCAATCCCAGTGAGAGGAATCCTGGTCTTTGTTACTGGCGAGTTCTTTTTCGAGTTTATGAACCAATCAACTAGTACTAGGGGATAAATCAGGGCGTATGATTATGCAACTTTCATGTTGTTTCAACTATGATTCAGGAATGAATTCTTCGGTTGGGCTGGCCCTGAGCGCTGGGGGCTTAAGCATATCACGGAGATGAGCCTTCTTAGTGCTGCCTTATGCAGGTCCTCTTGGACCTCAAGATGCCAATGAGGTGGAAGGCTTAGATAGGCTAGAGGGCTCCCAGTTTTCCTACAATCTTTGCAAGTTCTTTCTCTAAGACTCTGAACTATGAGGCGGCAAGACTCCATGCTGGGCTGCCCATGACTGAGCCCCACGCTCCGGCGCCTCTGACGGGGCCCGTGAGACCTCGCCACTCGGGCATCAACATGCCAAGGGCTCAGCACCAGACAAGAAATGCTTGCCGTGCAAAGTTCTATGATGGATGCTGGCGGTCTTCCTCCTGCCAAGGTGGCACCCGACTGCAAGGAATGCCCTCTACTACGAGGTCCGTTCTGTGTGTGGTTCCGTCATGCGAACTTCAATGTCCTTCTCAGATCAACAATCCCAACGCACCCAACCGTCCTCCGGACTGGCCTGGGTCCCAGCATTTTGCAGCGGTTGAGGTCACTTACATCCCCATGATGCATCCCTGTAGCAATCCGATTGTGTGGTAGTTTCCGTACAGCGGGGGACCCCAATACAAGCCCCCAAGTATAATCACAAACGGAGCCCCAACCGTGGAAATCCCACCTTCTCTGGCAACCTGAGGCCCAGGGGAGTGGATTGGCCACCCCGCCCAGCTGACCTGTTCGGCTTTCCTTTGTGATCTGCGAATCAGGGTTGCTGTCTATCACCGCGAAACGAGGAGCAGAATCAAACGGTTTGGGGCTGTCATTTTGAGCACAGCGCGCAGCGGTTGGCAGAAGGTTTGAGAAGGGCATCTCCATTTGACAGGCGCGATCATCGACAAAAATGGCAAGTGGTGGCCCCCACCAGGTTGGGCAAATGGCGTCCTCGCCACAGATGTGTACTTGCTACGCCAGGAGTTCTCAGGGATCCCTTTAAAGAGAATTATAGAGGATCTATGGGGTTATAAGGGAGAATCAAATGGCAAAGAAAAAGGAAAATGAAATGGAAGCTGGGGTTATATAGCGGTTTATAGGGTTCGGGGTTTCAAGAATGCGAGTCTTTCAATGTTTCTTTTTTTCTCTTGGTCTTGGCTCAGGCTGGCGCTGAGAAGGGCTGCGTCGGAGCCCTGGTGTGAGAGTGCGAGAGTGGACGTATGTATCTCTATGAGATATAGTCTAAGGGGTTATAGAGGGTATTATACAGGGGACTGCCATAGGGGTTATTAAGGGGGATACTAGGAGTTTAGACCATTGTATATCCTCTCACTCAGGAACTCGGTTACTGGACCTACAGCTGTGGATGGCGGAACCGTGAAGAGTGGGTGTCTTGGTCTCACTTCAGGGTGCCCGCTGCGTCCGGGCTAGTCAAACTGGATCTCAAAGAAGATCCCAATCATATCTTGGACCTCGCTGTGATTCTCAGCTATGGCTATTCTCTGTCCCAGGCCTTTGCTTGCAGCAGCGTCCCACCCCTTAGTTTGGAAGGATCTCCTCAGACCCGTGGGATTGAAGCACCCTTGTGCCAAGAGCCAAGCCTGCATTGGAAGTAAAACGTCCCCTGACCCTGATATTAACTATTAACCCCCCCGCCCCCCGCCTAAGATTAAATACTCCTGTTATGTGGTATATTATAATACATTGAGAGTATTTAATATCAGGGCGGGGGGGTTTAATATTAGGGGGAGGGGATTTATGCGGACCTCAACAGCAGCTGAAGCCAAGGGCAAAGATGCTGCTGCCATATGGTGGGGCCCTAGCCACGAGCTGGCAGGCGATCTACTGACCCAAGATGAATTGTCGTTATAATTGTTATTCTTTCTTGTTATTATCATCATGATTCATTAGTATTTGTTATGGTTGATATTGTCATTAGATTCTTGTGGTTCTGATTTTGTGGTTCTGATTACGCTATCATCATTATTGTTGTCGTTCCTGCCACAGCTTTCTTGCGCCACTGTCAATCACTCGTGCAGGGCTATTATCCAAGCCTCTTTCAAGCAGAGCAGGGCGTAATGAAAGGAAAAGTAAAAGCCAGGAAAAAGCGTAGAGTCCCTTCTGCTCCTCATTGTTTCGGCTGCGGATGTTGTAATGTAATTGCCAAGGAGGAGCGAGCCTTTGAGGTAACATGGCCCAATCATTGCATTCTAGGCCCGCCCGAGGCAAATCTGAAAGTTCCCCAGCAACAGTTATATTGGGGTCATACTGGGGTTATAGTTGGATAATGGAAAATAGAATGGGAGCTATATGGATTATAGGGATATATAGAGAGGGACCGCGGTTCAAGGTCTCAGTGTTTAGTGTTTATGATATTCTGGTGAATGATAATCACAGAGGGTGCCTTGATGCTTCGCGCGCCAGAAGTGGGCAACAAGCCACGCAGACTTCTTGCCAAAGAAGCGCGAGAAGCTTGGCTCAGAGAATGTGGATAACGGAGCGTATTTGGGGATTTCTCAAAGTGAAGGGTACCTTTTAGAGGTCCCCAGACTGAGGATTATAGTATTTTGGGGTCCATATTGGGGTTCCGCCTACTTTGGGAAACAACCATTCAGGTTGGGGGACATGTCTTTCAGTGCCCCCAAAACCATTTACATTTGTGATGGGCCTGGATTGGTGCCAGAGAGTAACTCATGTGCTTGGTCTACTAAGGGAACATGGGTGTTCATATGCATTTTAGTTCCACAGCTTCCTTTTCAATTCACTGCTCCAACGCACCCAAGACCTAACCATCTATTCCAAAAGCCATTAGCCATCCTAAATGGACCAAGTGTAAGCTCTACGGCTTGCCGAGGAAGATGCGGACTTCCTGGAGCGATCCGTAAGCTGTGATCTTCCCAGGTTTTCAGAAACTGGGTAGGCATTTAGCACTGAAAAAAGGGTTGCTTGGACATCTTAGCGTCCACACGGTTTGATTGACAAAAGCACGCATGACCGAAGATATATATATATATATATAGTCCCCCTTACGTAGATAGAATATGGCTTTGGGTATATTATACTAAGATCCCCATAGACCCCATATTCTATCTACTTAAGGGGGACTATAGTTCCATATGCAATCATTGTGAGGGGACCTTGGCTCCTATTCTGCCTTGTTGCTTTTGCTGTCCCGATGCTAAGTCTCCACTTCTCATTATTCACGCAAAATTGAGTTTATAGCATCATCGCAGTACTTGTACCTGCAAGGGCTACGATTGATAAGCTCTTGATCCTTCATATCTAGTTCTGATTGAGGTCGCATGGATCCTAATGCGCGTATGTCTCCAGAGGCCACACATTCCCTAAACCCTAAACCGTAAGTCTCACCTTAAACCCCAAACCCTAAAACCCGAAATCCTCCAACGCTGACATGCAAGCAAGCCCTGAACAGCACAACTCCCCTCCTAACCCGGAGTCAGGTGGGGCAACCCCATGATAGTAGTAACAGTATGAATAATGAAAGCATCATATTCGTATTAGTAGTATTGCTAGAATTCGTATTATTATTACTCCTACTATACTTATTGTGATCATGGTATTTTTTTCGGTAATCACCCTGAACCCTAAACCCTACCTCTACACCTTCCCTCCTCTTGATGGTAGGAGCGGCTGCGTGGCTTTCAATCGGGCCTGCAAGGCCCGCCGGAGCCTCCGAGAGCAGCGCAGGCAGTGGGATGTCTGCATGAAAGGGTTTAGGGTTCAGTTTTTTTTCAAGTTTTGATTTAGCGCGTTTTAGGGTTTAGGGTCTAGGGCTTGTCTTTTCTTACCTTCGGTTAGCAAGGAATGAAGGAATAAATCCTTATAGTAGTTTCTATATGAAATCCATTATCATAGTTGCATTTTTTGGTAATTTCTTCAGTCCCAGCTAAACAAAGGCAGATTTTTGAGTTTCATCTTTAAAAAAAATTGTTCCGAGTTTATGAATCGTTGTCATTTTCTATTTTCTATTGTTATTGTTACTACTGTGGTTATCATGGATTGACTACTCTTATAGGGTTTAGGTTGGGTTCGGCCTGCGTGCAGCAATAAAGTGGTGGTAGAAGGAACATTTTCGGTACCCTGTGTTAGGAGTCCACTGTGCACATGAGCCGTACATTCATAGATAGCGGCAGGCTGAGGTGTCTGCGCTGTAGCGTCCTGCAGGCTATGCATAACTTTGCTTGCTGCAAGAATGAAGCTTCAGAAAGTCTGTAGAGGGTAGCGTAGAGCAGGATGGCTCCTTGTGGTCATAAAGGGTGAGGTCCAACCTAAGGTTTCCGCAGTGCATGAGGGTTAAGGGTTCCTAAGGCACCAATTTCAAACATCCCTTTAGGGATTGTTAGGAAAATCTGGGGTGCTATGCCGGGACTATATGGGGAGTTGACTCACCTGAGCACCTCAAGGAAAAACAACTGACCTGGGTTGCTGCATGTTTCTGCAGGTGCTAGAAAGAGACGATGGTCCTGCAGCCTGGCAGCAAACCCGATGAATATCTTCAACTTGCCAAAATCCATTGGAATTAGGTAGAGATTCTGTACGTCTATCGGGTGGTTGTAGGGGTCATCTACGTGGCATTGAAATACTCTCCCACGTGTATATTACGGGTGCATGAGTGAGCAGAACAGGTCCTTGGTCTTCAGGAGGGGTTTCCAAGAGTGAGGAGGGCCAAAACTTGTATGGTATCCCAAACGGGGGCCTGAAGCCCAGAAAAGTTATTTTTGGGAGCTTTCATACAGCGTCAAGTCGGGCTCAGGGTAAGCAGAGGTGCCGCCAGCTGTCGCCAAGCAGTTCAGCATGGCGGAAATTGTCGAGCAGCAGGCGGATCATGTCAGACATTGCTGTTTTGCCCTGAGATAATGAACTCAAGTCTTTTGCATGCCTGTCAAGGGCCTGTTGTGAACTGCCAAATTTCTTCCCTGTTGATCGTGGAGCTTGAAGCTTTCAGTCATGCTCTGCCAGGGAGGGGCCGCCGCAGCAACCGATGAAGAGCAAGCCACTGACAAAATCCTTGACATGCAGAAAACTGCGTGAAAAGGGCTTGGCGCCATCAAGGTAGGCCTTTCTTGGCACATCCTGGCCGTTGCGCTTGTTGTTTTCTGCTCTGGAGCACAGTACAAGCATGAACGGTAACCACCCTTTTGTCGAAAAGTTTTAGATTTCGATCACCGACTTTGGATGCCGGGAGGGAGGGGAGGGGGACCAGCGCCTTGTCCATTGGCTGGAGTTTCTGGCTTCCAGCAACGCTCAGCATCTACGCAGATTCCAGGCCCAATACTTTACATAGCCCGCGAGCACTGTGAACCCACAAAGCCATGGTCAGGTTTGAAGGCGAAGGTGTTTGTAGCATTCAGGCTTTGGGAAGAGCGAGCAAATTGGCCCTCAGAGGCCTGACAACAGGGCACATGCTAGCAGGCTACAGCTTCAATCCTTCGGCATTTCAGGGTAATAGTTGAGCAGAGAGGAATATCTCCAGAAACATGGAAAAGCAGACCTCTTGCTGTGTTCCTACTTGTGTTGAGAACAAACTTCAACTTAAAAGCTGCACCATGTTGCCTGCGGCGGGCAATGGCCGCAAAGCTTGAGGAGGAAGTTCCGAAGTCGCCGGACAGCCACATGCCCTGAAACTCTACTGCGATTGCCACTGCTGCTGCTGCTGCTGCTACTACTACTACTACTACTACTACGACGCCACTACAACCACTACTACCACCACCACTACCACTACCTATACTCCTAGTTCCCATTGCTGCCAGTACGACGACAACTACTGCCCTGAGCCCCTTCTGCTGCAGGTACAATACTTGAACTGTGCATTAATGATTTTGGATGCATCGAGGCAATGCCGAGTCTTCAAAACTCAGGCAGCGGCCTTTGCCTCTGTCTGATGAGGCCGGAGGGAGTGCTCAAGGTATTCGAGGTTAAGGTGGTCAGTAGGGAATGATGTGCCGACAGACTTTGACAGGAGTCGGACGATGCTGACGACGAGCCCGCAACAGTTGCGTGCCCCTGGGTGCAGTGCCATCGACCAACCATTCTGACAAAACATGCAGAAAAGAAGGATCTCCCACATGCTTTGCACATGCGCAATATGTCCCTCATCTGGTTAACTCGGCCAGGTGGTTCAAATGCTTTTCGGCGCCCTCGCAAGCTTTCAGAGTTCACTAGGTTTCGCAGCCCAAGGGCCTCTGAAGTGCATGGCAACAGAAACAGACAGGCCGGTCCATGACCTCCTCTTCGGGCGTGACCCCGGAGAGGAAGTGCCCACCCGCACACACGCCAGGGAGCTGCTGGCCAGCCTACCGCACCAGTTCGAGCGCGTAGCATCCTTGCTGCGCAGGGCAGATGCAATTCTAGTTGGCACGGGTGCCGGTTGGTCCGCAGATTCCAAGCTGGCAACCTACAAGGACGTGGCAGACGTACCGGCCCTTCGTAAAGCAGGTTTGAGTTATTATGACCTTTGTCAGACGCACTGGTTGCGCGACGACCCTTCAGCGTATTATGGTTTTTGGGGTTATTGCCTCCACTCGTACAGGCAGGCAACGCCGCACGAGGGCTACCGGATTGTGCGGAAGTGGTCTGACAACCTTGGGAATCGAACAGATCGTTTTCATGGCATCTTCGATTCTGCCAAGCTAAACCCTGTGTTTATCTACTCTTCCAACGTTGACGGCCATTGGCACTGGGACGATCTTTTTTTGCGCGAGTCTGTATTCGAATTTCATGGGACTTGTGAGGACTGGTGCTGTTCCGGGTCTGCAGCGGAGGGGCCGATGGCTCCGTGCTCCCAGCAAATCTGGTCGGCGCCATCCGAGTTTCAGTTTGAAATTGATGAAGCGACCATGCGGGCGGAAGCTTCAGGTGAAGCCATGCGGATTGAAGCAAATGAGTCGGACAGCTTCTGTCCCTTCATGCTAGCGCAAAGATGCGGAGACCCAAATCGGCCTCGTTGTCTCTGGTGCAGCAGTCTGCTGCGACCGCGTGTTCTTCATTTCGGGGATGGGAATTTTTTCGAGCGTGAAGGGGAGCGTGCAAGCTTTGAAAGATGGTCTGAGTGCATCTTTGACTGCATGACGCTTTGCAACGCTCCCATTGGGGATGGCGAAAAGGATGAGGCCAAGCACGTCCTTGCCAGTGCCCCAGGTGAGCGAGCATTCTGCCTGGCTGTGTTGGAGTTTGGCTGCGGGCTGAACGTCCCTACCATCCGTCGCGAGTGCGAAAAACTCCTGGACATGTACCCGGAGAATTGCGTCTTGGTCCGGGTCAACCCGGACTTCCCCCTTGTTCTTGACAAAGAGCCCCGGCAGCGAATCGAGGTCATGACCAGAGCATTGGCAGCTGTACGGGCAGTGGATGCCATCCTGTCCGGGCGGACAGGCTCAGCAGAGGTGGAGGAGAAGCCAAGTCCGTCGAGCAGGCCCAGCAAACCCAAGAGCAAGCCCAAACCTAAGTCGCGCACCCAAAGCGGTAGCAGAGCCAGTAAAGGCTGATGAGGCTCAAAGGCTCAACCGTTGAATGATGCGTGAGCGGTTCTCAAGACGATCTGGTAGTTTAGACCGAGGGTGGCTTGAAACGGCATGCAATCTGCAGCCTGCAGCGCTACCATCCGACCCACAGGGTCTGCCTGCTGCGCGGTTTGGGTCTGCGCACATGGGCATGAGAAGTCGGGTCGACTGCTACTTCTGACGGAATGACGCTTTCCCAGGAATGCCCCTGCGTCCAAACCACTGAAATCATTTGTCGGCATGCCTGCAGCAGTTCTGGCCGTTTGTGCCTCAGGCCCATCCTCATGGGACAATGTCCCAAGCTTTCGTGGTCCTGCTCATGAAGCCTTCTGCGGTTTTAGCGTGACACAGTGGACTCAAGCTTTGACGTGTCATCCACGTGATCGCTGCAGACATTCAGCCTTTGAATGATTCATTACAAGCAGCCCGCAGGTACGCGGCAGCGGCCGGCTTATCATCTCTCCAGGACCTATGCTGCATGGGTTAATAGGGTCCATAGTGAGCATGGTTTGCAAAATGCACAAAGTCGAAGTATGGCTATGGTCTAAACTCCTTAAAGAGGGTCATATAAGGGACTATATAGGGTGGTATTATAGAGCTTGTGAAAGGGGATACTAGGAGTTTAGGCTATAGCTCAGTGACTTGAGCCTGGTAGTACTTCCAGGCTTCCCAGGGTTCAGTGCTCTTGGCCTGCATGCCTGGCATCAAGACCTTCAAGGGATGGAAGAAATCTTGCACCACTTAGGACCCCCCCAAATACTGCAATTATTGGAAGATGTGGTATATCAGGTGGTGCAGGATTTCCTCCATCCACAGTATCATGCAGATCAGATTGTGGGCAGTTTAGCACCAGTTCCCAAGAACAAGGTGAGAGCATTTGCGCCAATCAGGTCAATATGGGATTTTCCAGAAAGAGGACCCCGACATGGACCCCGAAATGCTATAATCCTTTTCATGGGGACCCCTAACATGGTAGCCCTAACTTTGGGCAACCGCCATATGTCAAACTGTGCCCCTAAATCTAAAACCTGTAGTATAAATTCTGGGAGTGGCTCAGAGTCTGTCATACACGATCTGGCCATGTCATCCCAGTCGAGCTGTTGAATGCTGCGTTCTTCAATTGAGCTATACTCTAAACTCGATTAAGGGGGTTATGTACGGCTTAGGGTTTAGGGTCTAAACTCCTTCAAGGGGGTTATATATAGGGGAGTATATAGGGGAGTATGATAGGGCTAAGCGGGATGCTAGGAGTTTAGATCATAGCTCACATAGATGCATGATTTGCTGGTTTCGTGTTTGGCAAGCCGTCTTCTCTGGCGAGAGCTACATCAAACGCTTTTGGCGTAAAGCCGCTGTTTTCCACGGCTTGTAGACTGCCAACCGTTCAGATCAAATGGGCATCTCGAAAACACAACCTGGAGCCCCAAAGCCCGAAACCTACTCCCGTGCAGATGTGCATGTTCCAAGTTGCTCGCAGTCACAATAGAACCAGCTTCCGTGAAACGCATATTACGCAGAAAATAGGGATTTTCATAAATTGGCGTTCCAAGATGGACCCCAACATGCTGATCCTTACAGGGATTCCCAAAAAGGGGCCCTATTTGTTTGACCCCAGCACCATCCTTGTGATGCTGGCTTCGATAGGAGCTTGACCGAGGAACTGCCAGCTTACCGTAGACGTCTCAGCTACGGCAAGCTCACTGCGTGGTTGTGGATGAGATTTGTTGGCTTTTGGACCTAGGGCTGAGGGCTTTGGGTACAGGGTAGCAGATTTGCGGAATCGTGCAGTTCTTGCAAGTGCGAGTGTTTTCCTCGCATGGAAAGTCTGGCGTGTTATTCAAGTGTCTATGCTAAAGAGATTTTGCATCGGTTTGCAGAAAGTGCCGGCCTATGTTTTGAACGTGCTTCAAGGATTTTCTTGGGTTCTGGAACGTGCTGTCGGTTTA